AGATGTTATATATACCGGTATATATATATATTTATATATACATATATATATATATAGGTAGTGTGCAATACACATGTAGATAAGAATTGTATTGATTATTAATATTATTTTATTATTACTAATATTTATTATTGTTATTTTTGACGTTGCTCACTGTATAGGTCGTAAGTACGACAAAAACGGGAATCTGGTACAGTGGTGGAGCGACGAGTCGATTGAAAATTTCATTAAACAGACTGAGTGTATTATTGATCAGTATAATAGTTACGTGATGCCAGAAAATGATATGAATGTAGGTAAAAGATCAGTTACCTTATTAGTCATAAGTAAGCAGGATTGATTATTATGATCATCCCTATCATTAACATCATCATCATTTGGCCTATACCAATTAAAAATGATTGACAATAAAAACAAGCATCCTCTTGGTGAAAGTGACTGTATTGTTTTTATGTTGTTTACAGCTAAATGGTGTGCAGACCCAAGGTGAGAATATTGCCGATAATGGTGGATTGAAGGAAGCATATATAGTAAGACGGACCTTATTACAGTACTTTATTATGGTTTTGTAGTCCTGCGTCATATCTTGTATCGAAACGTGTAATGGACATAATGATAATGCATTACATGTTATTATAAATATTATCATTGTTATCGCCGTAAGATTATGTATGTATGTGCGTTAAAGTAGAAGAATATTGTGTGAAAAGTTGCCCCAACTGGAATTAGCGATCAATTGCCACACCCTATTCGCTTGTGTTGAACAGCAATAGTTGCAAAATGATGCATGCAAGTAACTGAGATTAATCTAAGAATCTTAAGCATTTATAGTAGATAACATCAGAAAACTTACATATTTAATAAAAGTTGCATGTACATGCCGTAGATATATAAAAAAAAACGCATGTTAATACGAATTTATGTAAATATATGTGGTATTCACAGGCTTATAGGTCATTTGTTGATAATGGTGGAAAAGAAGAACCACTACTTCCCGGTCTCAACTTTACACAAGATCAGCTCTTCTTCATTAACTATGGACAGGTATGTTCACATAATAATTCCCCAATTCAGATCGTCTGATTTTTTGAATGTTCATCATCTGCAACCACTTAACAGAAATTATTTGCAGGCTGGTGTAAACGACATTATTCCATCTAAAATATGTTCACATTAGGAAGCTAAGAAACTGAAGATTTTATTTGTAAGACTTTTCAAATAAATTGAGCCTGAAATATTCAGTCAAGAAACTTACCCAACAAGCTAGACTTTATCAGGGGCGGATTTAAGGGGGGAGGCGGCCCGGTCCCCTTTTGGGAGGTAAAAAAAGGGGGAAAAGAGAGAAAAATAAAGAAAAAGAAAAAAAAATGATAGCCCAGAACGCCTTCAATGTTATTTTTGGGCGCCTAGAACACAAAAAAATCGCGGGGGCATACCCCCGGACCCTCTAGGACAGTTTTGTCTCGATCGGCCCAAATTTCGGCCCCCTTTTTGGACACCTCTGGATCCACCCCTGTTTATTCATGTAGTAGTATTTATATTAAAAGTTATGACTTTCTTTATTTTATTGTGCAAGGTGTGGTGCAGTCTATACCGACCGGCGGCAGTCACAATTCAGATTCTGAATGGAGTACACAGTCTCGGACGATACAGGTACATACATACATACATAACATCATTTATGTAGCTCTGTTTCATGAAGATCAGACCGCTCAAAGCGTGGACTACAGACTGTACAGTAGAGTAACTTAGTTCTGCCCCAATGGTCTCTTCTTGTCTAAGCTGGCCGGTATACCGGTACCAGCTAGGCATATTCTCATCTGTCCACAACAGGGCCTATATGGACCCGCACATCGGGGTGCACATGACAGTGCACAACAGTTGTATACACTAGGCCTATAGTCCTTATCCGAGAAGACTTGTTCCACCTCTGCAACAATAGGCGAGTGTGCGTTCGAACCAGCGCCAATACTATGGCTGTTAGGTTGCGGTGCCCCTGCTTTAATCGCTCGGCCATTCGACTCGCACATTCCTACATTACTCTAAAATGTAACCATGGTGATAGTTTGGTAGACCTAATTTATATGACGTCATAAGTGACTTTTGTTACTAATTACCAAATATAAAATATAATGAACTGATTAAGATTATAGAATAGGCTAATTCTTACACTATTGTACGTCGGACTAGTGCTGTATACTATGCTCGGACTAGATATTCCAATGAGGAGTAAATTGTTGAGTAATTATCTATCTGTTTACATTTATTCATTTATTCATTTATTTATTTATTTCCGTCAGCAGGAATGCACTTAACAGAAAAGAAAATCAAATTCAAGAAATATCATAAAACTAACCAGGAGAAACTACCTGAAGAGACTAATAGTGGAATTGGTTTTGGTTTAAGTTGTTTTGTTAGGGTGTGATTTAATATCTTTGCTTTCACTCGTTATCCTTTGTAAAGAAGAAAAAAAGATTATCATTAGGTTTGCATATGTTTTATTTGTCTGTGTGTTTAAATTGACTATATATTTGCCCTATTGGACACCCTTATTTCAATACTACTTCACATGATATCTGAACCATGAATAATTGATTTCTTTTTATGTAGAGTGATTGGATCAACACACAACAATGAAGATTTCTCCAGAGTATTTAGTTGTCCAAAGCCGAAACCATCAAAAAAGAAGTGTAGAATCTGGTAAAACTTTTTGCTCAACCTACGGTCTCTCTACTTCAAATGATTAAATATAAACTGAAGAAATATAAGAGTGGTGCTTTCACACAAAAGCCAAACAAAAGAGAAAAAAAATCATGTTTGAATATGATGAGCAATAAATGAAAATTGTTTCGAAGATAGATGGTAACAAATGACGTAATATATCTGAACTGCCAGCCGTAAATACTCAATGTTTGTAAATAATCACTATGAAATACCGTAATTACAGATAGGCCTATATAGTTCAATGTTTAAAAAAATAAACGATAACAAATACCGGTACGCTACTGGTCTTCGAAATGGCCACTAACTATTTTGTGTAAGCATCAGTGATCTTAATCATTCGTACATTTATAAAGTGTGTATCAAAATAAATAATACAGAGAGGTGGCCTACTACTGTTATATAATTTGAATTTAAAAACATAATATTGTTTGAAAACACTGAAGTCTGAATAACTTTATATATTATTTGAAATGATTCTTAAGCTGATCTATTTACAGTAGTATGTATTGTACAATAACCAGTTTTATTCATCCTATATATTCAATTTTTGTAAATAAATGTGACGTAACATACTCTGGACTGTCCACGAAAAATACTGACGTATAAGCTTAACAAAGTATTTAAAATAGACCTTTCCGGAGTGTCAATCAAACTTATCAACTGACTAATCAGAACAGCGCTAGGGATACGCGCGCGTCTCACAAACACACGTGTTGTCCCACAAACGCACGTGTTCGCGTATGTTTTAANNNNGGTTTTAACACTGTCGTCTTGTGGGACCTTAGCAACAATATCCAAGGGGCGGGCTTAGCGGAAAGGTCCATTTAGTCCGCCTCTTTAAAGTAAATTAAAACATATCACGAAGATTACTAAAGTTTTTGAATTTGAACTTTCTTTTTATCATGTTTGTACACATCTACAGCTAAATATAACATGGACATAAGAAAGGTTTCCTAATCAAACTATGTACACTAACAAGTTCTGATACGTATTAAATCACGTGTTTATAATGTTGATCTCACGATTCTTGTGTGACAAGAAATGATAATAAAAATCTTCACGAAATAGTTAATTGTTAATGCTGATGATTTTAATGGCAATACCCACAAAGGATATAATACAATACAATACAATAACTTTTATTTCTGGCAATAAACAAAATACAATTATACAATTCATGTCTTCTAAATAAGTGGCAAGAAATGGAGGAAACTGAAGTAAAAAAAACATATGAAATTTCCCCAAGAACATTTAAATAACTATTATTACATTTTCTATTAACAACAAGGTTAAAAAATGAAAGGGATAACACCATTTATTGTGGCAATATACCAATATTATTATTATTATTATTATTATTATTATTATTATTATTATTATTATTATTATTATTATTATTATTATTATTATTATTAAATACTATATTGTTTTTTTGTCTTTCGTGGGAGTCACCCACCTTTATTGTCACTCTTTTTTTTCAATTGTTTTCATTCATTTTTCCATCTTTAATCTATATTACATTTCAAATAAAATACGGGTAACTAATATATACATA